GCCACCTGCATCGGCCTGTGCCGGTCGAAATCCAATTTATTCTCCCTTCCCCCCGCCTTGGCTCAACCTCAGCCGGCCTGTATTCCATGTGCAACCGGGAGAGTAACACATACACATAAGGAGAGAGAGAGAGAGCATTCGGTATCGGTCATTATTGGCTTATCTATCTCTTTCAACGTTCATCTCGTCCGAGTGCGGCGGCCATAGTCAGACGTGCACAATCGCGTCACATGCAATCGTGTCGCGCCATGTCGCAGACGGCAGCACAACCGAAGCCCCCATGCGCGATCATCCCAACACTTTAGGCCATCTAGCGGCGCCACACAGTACCGCCGGCACATGCACAGGCTCGTTGCGGTGGCCGCGTCCGGCTGTGGTGTTGCCGCCTGTGGCCGCTCTGTTCACAGGCCGCCCACCTCGCGGCCGAGACAGCAATCGTCCTGTTTCGGGGGTCTTGTCAAGCTCGGAAAAGCATACAAATGTGGTTGATGCGACGAGGCATGACGCGATAAGAGGACTTGTCCCAGCCCCTGGCACGGACAGGTGCCTCGCGTAATGTGCACAAGCTGGTCTGGCCCAGCGTCACTCGACAAGTTTACGAGATAGCGGAGATAAATGGAACAGGTGAAAAGGGGAAGAGGGAAAAACACATGAAAGTGGAAACACACATGAACAAGCGGTTGAGCAAAAGAAAGATGAGCAGCAGTCAAAGTGTCGGAGCCACACAGACGCAAGGATGGATGAAGCTTGGGATGGAACGATGTATGGGAAAACAGATTGAGGGGTTAGATGGGTGAGCAGACGGAGGAATGGATGGATGGATGGATGGATGGATGGATGGATGGATGGATGGATGGAGAGGTGTAGAGTTGGGTGGATGAAACGACAAATTTTAGAGAGAATCCTACAATCATACACTTATTGGAAGGAGTAATCGATTGAGAGGTGAATGGATGGACAGATGGAACTATGATTAGTTTGCGGAACTATGGCGCGAGTAAGTAAAGTGAAGAATAGATAATGAGACGACATGGATGAATGGATTTATTAATGGAAGCAAGTATTATGTAGAAAGACATGGCAGAGGGGATGGGACGGGCAGATAGATAGGCTAAAGGATGGATGAAAAAATGGACGGATGCAACGTCGGAATTATTGAAGAGGTGGGTGAATGAAGTGATTGATAGAATAAGGCTTAAATGGAGGCATGGGTGGGTAGAAAAGTGTGAGCTGGATGAGCGAAAAAAATGACGGATTAATGAGACGATTAGCAGAACGATAGGTTGGTACAGAAATGAGGGACCGGGGGGACATATTCACACAAATGTATATGTTTAGCGATAACTGATTGAATGAATTAATGAACAAATGTATGAGTGTGAAAAGAGCGATCCGGACGGGTGACAATGGTATTTGGCATTAATTGAATAAATGTCCGCTTATGATAGATAATTTGGTTAATTCGCCTATTTATTTATGCAAGAATATAAATATCCAATGATTATGTGTCCGTCTTGCAAAAAAGTCTGGCTGTCAATTTGGAGGTTAGTATTGGACGCATGATTACTTGATATGTACACAATCGGAAGACCAAATTAAGTTCAGGCTCGGCATAATGTTTTTTTTTCTATCAGCAGTTACATAGATAGACCAGAATATCGATTTTATGGAAGATACGGATAGAGAATAATGTCAATCCTTTGTTGGGGCAACGTGAAAGAGTAGCTTGGTTTATTGATAAAAGTAAGCAATCAGCTAAACCATGATTGGAATAATTCTGACACAAATCGGTTGGAAAAGCTAAAAAATATACACTTTCTGGGTTCATTGGTTGGAGATGCCGGTTACCTGTTTTTCAATCTTTTCTCATCTACATTTCCCCATGTCACCTAGCCACATAGACTTTGTTAAGAAGATAACTTAGAAGTGTCTGACCATGCTCGGATAATGAGAACAAAAGTTGCAAATGGAGGAAAGGAGTGAGGAAAGCCTGGCAATTGCATTTTCCCACAAGCATTTGAGTAGATCTTACATAACTTTGCATTGCCCAAAGTTATTCTCATCCAGCCGGCAGTGGACTGCAGTTTCGACCTCGTCAAGATCTCGTCAACACCTCCAACGGGACTCGAACCATGCCATGGTCAGTGCAGCGTACAATCTCGACAGCCCCACCACAGAATGTGATATGGGAAAATACCCACCACCGTGTTAGAGTCCCGCTGGTAGTGGTGATGAGACGAGACGGAGCGAGGTCGAATCTGCAGGCCACTTCAGGCCGGATGAGAACACATTTTGGGAAATCAAGGCTATGTGAAATTCAATGAAAGGAAATAGGGGGAATACATTTCATACACAAATGATGTGGAAAATCTGCTCATAAACGAGACATAATTTAATTGCCGATTGTAAATTGCCTGCATGGAGTTGGTGTAGAACTGGGTATGCCTTCGAGTAGATGAAGAATTTGAGTGGGTTTATGCTTTTGCAACGAATGTGAAAAGAGCAGGCCCGATAAATTAGTTGCACATTGATTTAAAGAGTCAGTTCGACAGGTCCGTTTGTGTGATTGGCTGTCGGGAGGATCGGTTTATTGACGAAGCGATAAAATGATCATCTAAAAAGTGTAACTGGCTTGTGGTTACTTGAATATGCTTGAAAAGTGGAGAATAAGAAGAGTTGTGGCTCGATCTTTCTCCAAAAGCAGCTGGCGGATACTTGTACTTCTGCACACAACACAAATAAAAACAGGCTGAATTTTCGACTTTGTAAAGAGTACGTTTTTGAGACTATCGGTAGACCTGGAACAGACACACAAGTCCCCCTGGGCCTGAAGACTGATAATGAATATTACCAATTTCACATAAATATGCCTAATTTAGCTTTGTTAAATTGGCGTAGTGGTATCGGTAGGGTTGGGCATGTCAATGTTAGGAACACCAACCTCAAGC